AAATTATTCTATAGTAGTAGTGGTTGTCCGCTCACCACTCAGACGCGTTTTGGGTTACAACCCACAGCCATCTGATGACTACCGCAATGCAAAATGGGATCATCCAACAGACGCCAGCGGTAAATGCCTCGAAAATGGATACACAGAGCCTTCCACACACAAAAAAAAATAGGAAGACTTATCCCGCCATCTATCGGCATTTATTATAAACTAGTGAACACTAAGGCCGTGTTCGGTGTCTCAACTAAGTGTAACTAAGGATATTAAATTTAATAAGTTCATCACAAACATATGAATCATGCATACAAACAGAACTGTTTACACTTTGAAGGACACTAATGCCAAACGCGTTTCGACCTCAAGAGTTCATCATCAGTGGCAAAACAAATTAATTCATATAATACAAATCAAAAGACTATGGGATTTTACAGAGCATACTTAGAGCGTTTGGAATTAATGTCCTTCAAAGTGTAAACAGTTTTGTTTGTATGCATGATTTATATTCTATTTCAAGATCATCGCAAACACCTCATTGAACACGCACACACAAAAACCTCATTAAGATTCACGAATTTTTAAATGTTTTTCGACGTGAAAAATATTTTACGGACTTCAAATAAAAGAACATTGGCTGTTCTACAGTTGATTTTCTAACAACTGATTTGCGTCTGTATTAAACAAAGGCTAACAAGGTAAGGACACCTGTAAAAAATAACACAGTAAGTTCGTCTTTGTAAAATATATCTGTTCAACTGGCAAACTTCTTCCAACTTCGTTGTGTGAACTAACTTCTTTAATAGAGTAAACATAGGATATCTTGAAGGACACGTCAGTAACAGGTAAATCTGTCTTAAACGGACGTAATAACCTTTTTTTGAATTCGACATCTTGTTGGTTAAAATAACTATAAATATACGTGATGGCTTAAGTGCATTCTACAAATATTATAAAATCTTAAAATTTTAGTCACAATTTTTGTGACATTACATTCACGTATAAGGTTTAAAGCTTGCAAAAACACGTACATTATGACTCTTGAGTCAAGCTAACATATCATTATTCCCATAACAGAAATTTTGTAGAAATTAACAATGAAATACAAGATAGGAAGAATGCTTAATGTAAATGTAAATATTAAGTAATTCCATGTTAACAGAGTAATTATTGAGAAGTGTGTTAAGAAATCCTCTGCCTCTTATTTGAATTCGAATGTTCATTATCGTGTTCACATAAACCCTCACGTGAACCACATTCCGAATGTGAGAATCGTTTAACGTTGTTATTTAGGAAGGTCTCCCAAATATCTCTTCAGCTCAGATTTTTTAAAAGAAAATATACTATCATTAATTCGATAATCTCAAATATTTTACGAAAAGCAAACATAACAAATTTTATAACATTATTTCTTAGGAATTTTGTTCTCAGAAAAATGAAAAAAATTTCTAAACTTACACAAAACAGCACGTGAAGTTATGGTTTGGAAGATTTGTTAGTTGCATTTACATTTTAACACAGTTGCTATAATAATGCAAAGCCTGGAGAGACTGAATAATAACTCGGAAGCCTCAGTCAGGATAGCTGGCCTCCAGACCTCCAGAGATTTGAAACTGGGCCTCGCCAAATACGAAACAAGTAATGCAAGGTATTTAAATAATATAATTTATTTTTTAATAAAATAGAATTTACGTAACTTATACCTCCAGTTAGACATTACTTGGACGAGCTGATACAAAACATATTTCAGAGGTAGGAGCTGCCACCATCATCAGGGAGATAAGTCGTCCTGATGATGGAGGCAACAAGGACCTCTGTCGTCAGTAAACTTCTATCAGACTACACGGCGCAACAACCCAGAAGACAGAAATCTTCAGACTCACCACAGAATTAGTTACATGTCGGAGAAGAAAGAACTTTTTTTCAATTTCTGCCAATAAATCTAGTGAGACATATAAATATGGTTGAGATGATAATGTTGCGTCATATTGTGATGATTATAATTGTTTAATTTTAACCGTCTAATCACAATAAAATATTTTATTAAATATTAAAACATTAAAATATTATTACTACAATTAGCATTCAATATTTAAAATATTTAAAATATATTAAAATGATGCTCCTCCTATCGAAATGTTCGATTTACAATTAGAGCATCGAACATTTCGATAGGAGGAGTATCATTTTAATATATTTTAAATATTTTAAAAATTGAATGTTAATTGTAGTAATAATATTTTAATATTTTAATATTTAATAAAATATTTTATTGTGATTAGTTGGTTAAAATTAAACAATTATAAATATGGTTGTTAAACTTTATACACGTATGTGACAAATCGATAATCATCAGTATTGCTCTCGTCGGAGACGCCAGGAAAAACCAGGATTCAGTTTCATCTGCTTTATCGCACGATTTAACAGCTGACTTTCACTTAGCTTATTCCCCATTCAGCATTTCTTTCTAAGGAAGTGTAAGATTATTTTATATAGTTAAGTCCGCCCGTCATTTTACCCTCTAATGACGACAAAACTTGGTGTGGCCTTCATGCAATTGAGTGTAAACCTATTTTACAGTTTATTAATTACTTATAATGACTAATATCAACATGGTGACAGTTCTAAATTCTCAGGTCATTAAGGTTCTAGCGTCATTTACTGTTGAGTCTTAAGTTGTCCGATTGTAAAAGACTAAAAATGCAGCTTTTATTAACACTTTTGTTTCTGAGACATAAATTAATAAAATTAAGGGAGTGAGATTTCTGTATTTATCGTCTCCTTCGGTGACGACAGCTGGTGAACTATGACAATATGAAACTCACCTTCGATTTTCACATTTAAATAATATAAACATGACGGCAGTGTAAAAATCTTAAGCTTATTTCTTCTATTTAATCCATGGAGCCGAGTCCTTACTGAGAATCTAACAGTCGCTCAGCCCACTCAAGAAATTCCCAACATCTTATGGAACTCGAAGGTTCATCACCGTCTTCACAAGACCCCGACACTGGTCCCTATCCTAAGTCAGATGAATCCAGACCATACCACCCCATCCTATGTCTCTAAGATCCATTTTAATATTATCCTTCCACCTATGTCTAGGTCTTCCCAGTGGCCTCTTTCCTTCTAGTTTGCCCACCAATACCCTCTATGCATTTCTCTTTTTTCCCATGTGGTCTACACGCCCTGCCCATCTCATTCTCCTTGACTTTATCAGCCAAATTATATATGGCGAAGAGTGCACAAGGCTTATTTCTTACGGATTGAAAGTAGTTACGATATGTTAGCGGAAATAATTTCGTGTAATTATAAAAAACACCGTTTATTGTCATTTCAGTAATTATAATCAATTAAGAACATTATTGTGAACAATATTTTTGATCACAGTGTCTTCATTTGAATCTTCGTCCTCAGTTAATTAGAATTTAGCTCTTTAGTGAGACTTTGCTAAGGAAAAAGCTTCCCGTGACAAAGGACGGGCTTATTTTAATTTACGTACAAATCTGCTACATTTTAAACTTTGGGAGCTTGGGAAGACCAACAGACCATTCGTTGTTTAGAGAGTCAAAGATGGTAAAAAAGTTTTGGTTCGGAAACATCGAGGATATTTTCAAATTGTAATTCCGAGAAATATTGTGTCAGGGCGGGGATTTGATTGAACTTATGGTACAAACCATTTGGTATCTAATAATTTGTGGCTAAGAGACGTCAATGAAAGGACATCACCAGGAAGTTTTCATTTCTTTTCTTTTCTTTCCCAAGGCTGAAAGCATATTTTTGATCACAGTGTCTTCATTTGAATCTTCGTCCTCAGTTAATTAGAATTTAGCTCTTTAGTGAGACTTTGCTAAGGAAAAAGCTTCCCGTGACAAAGGACGGGCTTATTTTAATTTACGTACAAATCTGCTACATTTTAAACTTTGGGAGCTTGGGAAGACCAACAGACCATTCGTTGTTTAGAGAGTCAAAGATGGTAAAAAAGTTTTGGTTCGGAAACATCGAGGATATTTTCAAATTGTAATTCCGAGAAATATTGTGTCAGGGCGGGGATTTGATTGAACTTATGGTACAAACCATTTGGTATCTAATAATTTGTGGCTAAGAGACGTCACTGAAAGGACATCACCAGGAAATTACTTTTTCTTTCCCAAGGCTGAAAGTTCATCGCCATTACTGAAAGATGCATCACAGGCGAGTCTCAAAAGCTTAAAATTATCTTTGCACCGGGTCTCGATATCAACAAAAAGTTTGAACGAACTGTTATTAAACACGCCTTTCACTCGGTCATCCTAAACAGAGTTAAAAATCCCTTCCCTTGTCACCAGCCACGTTTTTCATTTTCCACGAGTCAGCAAATTGTTAATTACTAACATCCCTTCCCTTGTCACCAGCCACGTTTCTCATTTTCGACGAGTCAGCAAATTGTTAATTACTAATAAATGTCAGACTTAGTGACTTCCATATTTATCTCATTCCGGAATGCGTATCAGAACAAAAATAAATATAACAACAAATAACATTACGCAGATGTAAAATTCTACATTTTAATATGGCGTTACGTAAAAATCTGTTAATCTCGAAGCAATTTATCCGACGAATTGATCGAATCTTCATCACAAAATTACTTTCAATAAATTCTAAAGAAATTTTCCCAACATGGCAGATATAATCTTGGACGTAATATTTTGCTGTCATACGTTAAAATAAACGTGACCGTTAAACTTCATGATTCAAAATACAGTTCATGTTAAAGCGTTGGACATTAATAAAAGAAATCTAAGAATCTGAAAGAACACTTTCAATAAAGTACAGATATTATGCCCTCTGTACGTAATGAAGCCTAATATAAAATATAATCCCAACAAAAGATGTTAATTAACATTTACCTGCGTTTTTGGAGATGTTGAATTTGTTAGGGTCTTTTAGTTTATATATCTCTACATTATCTCACCTAGACAGAATGCACGATATCAATTCCAAATCCTTCTCATCACTTCTCTTACCTCGAGGAATGCCTGTAGGAGAAGAAACAAACGAAACTTGGCAGCACTGCGAAAAGATAATATATTACATTTCCATTACATACAGCGTATATATTTTATTTCTCAGTGATATAATAAAAAATAAAATTACATCACACTATAATTTGATAAGAAACATAAAATACTAATGAATGATTTCTTTGGAACTTGAAATTCGTTTCAGTGTAAATTTATAACCAAAAATAAAGAAATAATCCAAGAGAAAATATATATTTAATTTTCTACATCGCACAAAGTCGAATTACCTGAATTAAGTTACATTTATTCGACAACTTTTTAAACATTATTGTATAAAATTAAAATATATTTTTTCGGGTTTAAAGTTTCAGACGGAGAAAGACTAATTTGTAGAAAATGAAAATTAATATAAATTTTCATTTTTTTTGTAGGCATATATATATTGAATATGGAGGTGGCATTCGTGTTACCAGGGATATCTGAGATATTATCAAAAACACTACAGACCAAACAAGTATCTTTTTCAGCAAGGAAAATGTCGGTTGTAGCACTTTTATCAAAGAAATGCCTAAATTATCAGTTAAATCTAATTTTTTGTGGTTATGTTGGAAACTAGAGTCTCTAATACTTGAAAACATTTCACATACATATACGAAAATAATGTTAACTACGTAAACACAAGTTAAACTAAATCAGCTAAGAATGCTTACGATGTTAAGAGCAGGAAAATACTAAGTTATAATCGTTTTAAATGAATAACAATTGAAAAAAACATAACCTCAATCTTTCACATAATTTGAATCACATAATTAAAATCCGAAATATGATTAAGGGAATCATAGAATACGAACTATTAGTTATGTATGATTGTTACATATTTCTGAAATATGTCTTAATGTCTCGGGGGATGTATTTTCGAGCACTGACCTGTGACCCCAGGCTCTGTGATAAACTTCACATTAACGCTGTTGTTAATTTTCATTCCATTACTGGCGACATTGTTCTTTGCCAAAAATTGTAGTTAACTCTGTTTAAGACTGCTCGTATCTTGTAGAGGCATACAAACAATTTTCTTAGTGAAACATTTGAGTACCATAACTCCATAACCATAAACAGGAGATCTTGTAAATTTGTAAGTCAGTAAACAAAGTCTGTGACCCATAACAAACGTGTCTTAAATAATCTGTCTTTAGCAAAGCTCACATAGTGGCAATAGGCTTACTTTCCTCCTATTGTGTTCTATTTGATCGCCTCCGTTGCAAATTTCTGGTTCGAAAATCCCAAATACCTGCATTTGAAGTTTAAATATTATATCAAAGCTTTGAAATAAGGTAACAGTTTCGAAATGTTAACGTAGTTTAGGTTAGAATCTGTCCATCGTCTGAGGTAGACATAAATATTCCTCAGTCTCCACGTGATTGGTTGTTATATCACGTGACGGTGCACACATCTATGATTACTGCAAAATTAATGTGCCATCACCTGTCAAGGTGTATCAATGGCTTCAGAGCAATCAGAATACCACGACATCGACTCTTCAACGACATTCACTAGTATAATATAAAAAGTTTAAAATTTTCCCAAAATAAACTTCAACGACCATTACAAAACAATGTCTATTTGGACGACAACACACTCGAAATTGTGACGTTTTTCAATTACAACGTCCCGAATGGTATCCGGTTGATGACAGACAAATTTAAGTGAGATGAACGTTTAAAGACGTCTCTCAGTCCTCCTTTCACGTGCAAAATCTCAGGCATTACAACTAACTGACTGCGTTGTACGTTCTTCGATTATTTCTCATGAAATCTCCACTAAAAGTTCTATTCAATGACAAGGTTACGTTCAACACGACGTAATCACCAATGCATAGACTTCAAACTCGTGGTAGCTGGATAATCCATAAGCATCCATGTAAACACATTTTGAGAGCCGTCCTGGGTTAATATTTTATGAAATGTTATTAGAAATTAACACATCTGGCAATTTACATCTGTTTCCTTGAAGATGAGACGACAGGTTCCTCAGAGAAATGTCCTCTCAGCGTCACACAGGAGCTACGCCTACAGAAAGATTTCAAAACCCTCGTTTTCGAAAGGAGGTAACCGAATTTCTCAAACAACATTTCAGAAACTTCTGGTTTTGACGGCAGGATATGGATTCCAGGACGCTGAAGTCACTTGAAAGATCACCTTTAGACTATTATCATTCTGGATAAATGTATATAGTCCCTGGAGTATGCAGTAAAGTCGAGGGCCATTGCTGACTTGCAGAATCGCATAAGAAATGGACAAGCGTGTGACTTCCATTTCACAAAGGGACACAATTTTCATAGAAATATTGGGAAAATTTACATCATTAAAATAGAATTATAAAAATAATATTTAATCGTAATTTAAAATTTATAAATGTTAAATTTAATAAAAATGAATAAAATATAAGTTAATCACGTAATTATTCCGTCATGAACCTCATTTCTTCAAATATTCATATCCCCTAAACGAGTGACATTTGAAAATAGTACATTTATTGCGCTGTTATGACCGAAACTGAGCCCCAAAACACGTCCTTGAGCGATGTCCATCCGATTTAATGGACATCCTGAAATATTTCTACTTCTGTTATGTCTGACGTGCGGTCGGCCAGCTGTGACGTTACCCCGTGCGCCTTCCGTCGAGACGGTGAAATGCACTCGATTGCCGGAAGTCTGCAGTATTTTTCTTTCCGTGTATGGAATGAACGAGAGGAATTTGGAACGAGGTAACGTAAACCCGAAAATGGTCGTATGAAATTCCTTCTCGATGTGTGTGGACCGATCTATGAGCCCTTGTAGATCGAGAACAGACTTAGTTTTGTGATAATGAGCAAATTATTTGTGCAACGCAGAGACAGTGACGAAGTCTTAAGAAGAATAAAGTTATGCTGAGAATGGAGTCTGACATCCGTGCTGAAGTCTGTGATGTGTAAAGAGATTAATTAATGAAGTAAAGAGTTGAAGAGAATGGATCCATCTTTAATTCTGAGGCGACGATATGACAAAACTTTCTGGTGATCTGTGTAGTCGGCACCGTTATTACGGAAGATTTCAACCTGGGTCTGGACGTTTCGATAGCCTACAACGCGTCGGTGGAACTGTATCCACGTTGAACGAGTGACCACAGGATTGTCGTTCTGGACTGTTAACTCTTAACTACTCTCACCATGGAGCACTCTGGCAAAGGACAAGTTAACCTCGGCAAGATGTGAGTGGGCTGTAACAAGACGTTTCATTGGACCTAATGGAATTCAGCCTGAAAACTTGCCAACAAAAACGACTGCAGATGGCATAATATTGATTTGTTCAATCATCAAAGAAAACTCCAGAGATGATGTGCCTGTGAAAGGTGCCACCCTGAGCAACTGTGAGGCAAATTCGTCGACATCGCAGATGAGCGATGTGTGTCCCACAACTTGAAAGACTCGAGGGTTCTTTGAAAATCTGCAAGTTGTTTATCCAGCGCAAGTCCGAACGTAAACACCAGAATCAGGAGGAATTCATCGCTGATTTCTAGGATATTTCCGAAACGGAAGTTAACGAGTGTGAGTACTTCGTGACATTTGATCACCGAAGGAAATTCCTGAGACCAACGGAAGTTGAAGACTGTATAGAGTAGGCTGTCGACGAGTGGGCGAACACGAGCTGAAGACATTCCTTCGTTTGCTTACCTGTTACAGGAGGTTCGTCGCTGAATTTGGTGGTTTTGATCGACTCTAGAAACAGGTTTTACAGTGGTTCCCGGAGGCTGAAGAGTTGCTCTATCAGCAACAGTCCGTAGATATCTATTATTGGGTGAAGAGTGAATTTTTGACAGGGGCGTTTGCCATGATGAAATTGCAAGGATAATCTAAAAAAATTAACGATGGCGTACGACAACAAAACACTCTTCAGTGCTGAGAACCAGTTGCCGGGTTTCGTGAAGACAGCGGAAATATATCTGCGGATAACGAGTTCGACTACGCACTGACGTTCTTTCAGAAACCTAGAAGACAGCCAGGCTGTAGGATGCATCGCCTCTAGAAGACCGTCAACGCAGATCCACTCTGTTGACGACCGTGTCCTGGTGAATTAACACTCTGCAGGAAGATTGAATGGCGTTCAGGGTCTCTGCTGGTGCTTGGACTGTGAGGACCGCGTTCAACTCTGGATTTAGCAGATGATCGACTACGACGTGTGGTCGATTGCAGTTTCAGCCGGCATTCTTCTTGCTACGCCCTACACGGGATGTAAGGGGTCAGGATGGGAGGGGTGTTGGAATATCTCGGTCGATTATCGATAGAATTAGAATCACTCTCTCCGTTTCGGACCAACGACTGGGTAATTTGTTTTTGTCGAAGATATTTTACTTGGTTGAGTACGAGGCTCAGTTGGGGAGAGAGCTATCTCTCGAGGCGGGACTGAGGCCGAGTATAGTAACTTTTTTTGTGAGAGACAGGGAGAGAAAAAGTATATTTTTTAATTTTTTGTAGAAGTTGAGATATCGTTTGAGGCAAATATTGTTACGGCCATGTTAGTATAAAGATATCGTTTGAGGCAAATATTGTTGCGGCCATGTTAGTATGATTTTAAACTCAAGATCTGGCGTGTAAACTCCATACTTAAAATATATTTTATATTTACATCTGTTTCAGGACATTATTGTTTATTTATACACAATGTATGTAAGAGGTAATTTCTTAAGGGATGTAATGCCACTAGGAACTACAGTTTCTCCCTTTTGACTTTGTCTGAAGGGCGATACGGTTCAAGCTGAATGGTTGATGGTACTTTTTAGAAGGAGACTGCTGACTTCAATTCATCTACAAAAGCTGATGAAAGCAAAGAGAGCTAGAAAAAATTGTCCTTTCACGTAGTAAGGATAAGGAAGTAATGGGCTGGATTGCTTAGGACAACCTCGACGACATATAACTAGAGGGGATATCGACCCCTCGTAATTTATATCGACTACTGAACCATGTGACAGGAAGTTTGAGTT